ATATATATATTAAGTTCAAAAATATTTAATTTATTGAAATGCAACGATGCATTAGAGGACTTCTGCGGGGTAAAATATTAAATTTTTATTTTATAATTCAAACATATTATTTAGTAATCTCTGTGATTTTTAAAATTGTGTTGTCATTAAGATGAGGTTCACGCACAAAGCGTGTACCCTAAGACTAGTACTATATTAAAAGTATCAATGTCCTTAGCGAAATATCATTGTCTTTTTTACCCTTTTAAAGTAGAATTCACACTAGACAAAATAATTATATTATTATTTTGCTAATTGCTAATATTTAGGAATAATCATTTAATTAATTTTCTACTATTTAGGAATGATTTTTTAATTATTATTGCATTATTTAATGATTTTTCAATTTCTTTCGGTTCTAGAATTTCAATCACTTCCAATTCATACTGGGAAAGTTTCCTTCACATTCAATCACGTCCATATTTCGGAGTCCTTAAATTTCTTCCTTTATAATACGAAGATTAAGGTCAAAATAGATAAGAGATTAGCCTTCTACCTTTTTGACCCAACGATTTAGAATAATACTGGGTATTATATTGTTGTTGCGGTATATAAGAGATTAGCCTACTTAGTGTAACCGGTTAAAGTGCCCTAACAGTCTTGATAGAGCTAAAATATTTTAAATACAATTATTTTATTATTTTGCGCAAATCAGAAGATTGAAGTTGAAAGTCCCATTCCATGTCTTGGGAAAATGGAATCTTATTATTTTATTGGACATTTTCATTTGAATCAGAAGATTGAAGTTGAAAGTCCCATTTCATGTCTTGGGAAAATGGAATCTTATTATTTTATTGGACATTTTCATTTGAATCAGAAGATTGAAGTTGAAAGTCCCATTTCATGTCTTGGGAAAATGGAATCTTATTATTTTATTGGACATTTTCATTTATAACTCAAATTTTAATTATTTTAATATAATACTTATGTAATTTTTGAAGGAAAAAAAAAACTTATTGAGTAGGGTACACGCGCTTACCGTGAGACTACCAAGGATATGGTAGGATTGATGATCGTCTTGAATTAGAGCCGTAGAAATGGAGAGTTGACCTAGTCAACACAAATCAAAATTAGTAAGCTAACTAATGGTAAGCACCCTCCACTTTCAACTAAGTGGTTGTGAGTTCGAGTCAACCCAACAGCAAGGTGAAGAGTTCTTGGAGGGAAGAATGACCATGGTCATCTGCGTATACACCATCCTCTTCAGATCCAATTAGTGAGATTATACTGGGTTGTTGTTGTTGTTGTTCTTGTAATACCGAATGCCTAAAGAAAAAATAAATGTGGTTGGTGCAACAGTAATAGCACCTACCGATTAAAGTTATGCGTATGAAAAACGTGCACAGCTGTTGTATTTTGCTGCTTTTATCCATAAAAAATGTTAGAATCTTTTTCTTCAAATCTCTTCAGCGCTTGCCAGTCTCAGCACATTTTGCATTATATAATTCTCAGCATATATATCTACTCAGTGGCAGCCTACTTTCTCTAGCTCTAACCCTATAGAGAAAAAGATTCTGTTTTTGTTGTGATGAAGGAGAAACAGAACATGTTTTTTCTGGGATTTTTACGTAAAATTGTTTTCATGACAATGATAATTTTGATATTTGTGGCAACTTTCTATAATGGGGTAGAGGGTGAGGGTCTTGATCGTCGCCCTCATCGAATTCTAGTGGATACAGATATGGATACTGATGATTTCTTGGCTCTTTTCTACCTTTTGAAGCTTAACCGGTCCGAAATGGACTTGAAGGTATTTTTTTTTCCCTCACTGTTCTGTTTTTCAATTCTCAAATGTTGAATTGTGTGACCTCATCACATCATGTAGTTATATTATTCGATTTAGGCCAAGCGTGCACGATTTTATTCAAAAGAACTCACAGTGTGAGTATCCCTTCACCTTTTATATGTAGCTTCTTTTTTGTTAATCAACTTCCGACATGACACTTTGCTTCCACATCCAAAACGAAGTACAATATGGCCCATCACCGAGATTTTATTAGCTCGCCTGGTGTGTCACTCACATCATCCGAATATTCATAGCTACCAAAGCACACATTCTTCTTCTTATGCGTTAAGTGTTTTACTTTTATACCAGTGTGTTGAACTAAACCAGCCCAAAAATCCTCTTAAAATGGTGCCCGATATTGTCCATTTTGGACCAAGACTACACGGTTTGCCCAAAAGGTGTCACACCATCAGCAATGTTCCTACTGCAGGCAGTGACTATTAGCACGAATGGATGGACTGATGCAGGGCATGCTGTAAATCAAGTGTATGACATGCTTTACATGATGGGGCGTGACGACATTGCTGTTGGTGTGGGAGGAGAAGGAGGAGTACTTCCCAATGGTACCATTCTGCCAAATGTTGGTGGATATCTCCCTATAATTGATCAGGTAAAGAAAAGTTCTCTGTGTTCTCTACTTCTCAACCAATTCTGCAAGTTAAAAGTCATTTGTTTAATGTCAAAATGCTGGTTAGTTATACATCTCCATACTTTCCCTTTTACACTGAATGTGCTTCAAAAGTTTCATTGATTTGTTAGGGAAATGGAACGGCTGGATATTGTAGATATAGACAAGCTATACCTATGGGTCTAGGAGGACGTTTGGACATCGACTCAAACTATGGGTTCCGAAAGAGCTTCCTTCCACAGGTACCATTTTGCAGTGTTGCTAAATAGAGGTGTCACGATCCAAGCCCATGACACTTATAGTCCGCTTTGGGCTTAGGCCCGCACGAATTTGTCTTTCGGGCTATGCCACCTCGAGCCCCAAAAACGTGCGTACCGTGTCAACTGCTGTCATGCCTTATAAGCTCATCGCTTTCCTCTCCCATTCCGACGTGGGATTTTCATAAGGTGACATGTGCACCCCTTATTCAGAAGCATGCTAGCCTAGAAGCCTGCCACTCCAGCTTGACCCGTCCTCATCAGCCCGCCCTCCGTCATGGGCATCACATTCACCCATGAAGGAGGGCGGGTTGGTGAGGGTGGGTCAAGAAGGATTAGCAGGCTTTAGGTTGGCAAACTTTGAAGAAGGGGTGCACATGTCATCTTAGGCCAATGCCCACATCGGAATAGAAGAGAAAAATGAAGAGCTTTATAAGGCATGGCACATGTTCACACGGTACGCGTGCTTTTGGGGCTGGATGTGGCGTAGGCCCAAAGCGGACAATACGTGCCATGGGCTTGGGTAGTGACGAGAAGATAACTTGTTCTGCAAGTAGAATAGGCAATAATGCAACTATTTGAGGATAAGCTAACTTCTATCTCAGGGACTAGATGAAGTAGCTCAGATCTCATTGCTTACTTCCTTTGCTTAAAATGTGTGCATAACTTGTTAATCTGGAACCTGTAACCAGGGCAAGAGACAGTATTCACCTCTTCAACAGCCAACAGCTCAGCAAGTAATGATCAAAACAATTTCATCTGGTCCAACCGTAGTTTTTCTCGTTGGATCACATACAAATTTTGCACTATTTCTGCTAAGTAATCCACATTTGAAGAAAAATGTTGAGCACATTTACATAATGGGAGGTGGTGTAAGATCACAAAATCCAACAGGTTGCTGTCCTAAGAATTCCAACTCTTCTTGCCAACCTCGACAGTGTGGTGACCGTGGCAATTTATTCACAGATTACACAAGCAACCCTTATGCAGAGTTCAATTTGTATATGGATCCTTTTGCTGCTTATCAGGTATTATCCAAAAAAAGAATTGCCATTTTCTATCATGTGTAGTAGGCTTCTTTAGCTAATCTTAATGGGTAGTAACTGATATCCACCCTTAAAATGTAGGTGATTCATTCTGGTATTCCAGTTACTCTTGTCCCATTGGATGCCACAAACACCATTCCGATAACTGAACAGTTTTTCAAGACTTTTGAGAAGAATCAGCACACCTATGAGGCACAGTACTGTTTCAAGTCCCTGAAAATGGCTCGTGATACTTGGTTTGATGACGAATTCTACAAGGTAACATTTATTACAACATAGAAGGGGAGCCTTGGAGCAACGGCAAAGTTGTCTTCGTGTGATCTATAGGCCACAGGTTCAAGCCGTGGAAGCAGACACTAATGCTTGCATTAGGATAGACTGTCTACATCACACCTCTTTGGGTGCGCCCTTTCCCAAACTCTGTGTGAATGCGGGATGCTTTGTGCACCGGGCTGCCCTTTATTTAATATTTTATTACGACATATACAATACCTTTAGATATGAAAACACCAGTTGTAAATATGATTTAGTGATGATAATGTTGCTGTGATGCAGAGTTTCTTTATGTGGGACTCATTTATGTCGGGTATAGCTGCTTCAATCATGAGGAAACGGCACAACCACCGAGGAGAAAATGAATTTGCAGAAATGGAGTTTATCAATATTACTGTGGTTACTTCAAATAAACCATATGGTATATCTGATGGATCAAATCCCTTTTTTGATGGCAGTAGAACTCCCAAGTTCACCTTAGAAAGAAATGGAGTTCACAGTGGTCATGTTCAGACTAGACTTCGTGATCCATTTTGCATAGTCAAGAATGGGAGGGGCAGATGCCAGGTGAAGATCAATTGATTCATGTCAATTATCTGTAATATGGTTTCTGGTTTTTGTCTAGACTTCTTGTTGTTAAGTCAAAGGTTTTCTTTCGTTACCATATAGCTATAACTTTTTTATGTTTGAGATCAACTAAGAAGAAATATTTTGAGATATGGTGATGTATGATGTCCTTTTGCTCTCTGACTTTTATGATCTATTCTTTGTTTCATCATTGTACTTCTATATGTGTTCTGAACCGGTGCTGTATATCAGGACAGTTATACAAAAGAAGTTGTTGGACCTGGAGGAGTGCCTGTTCTTGTTGCTGTTAAAGCGAAGCCTAATCAAAATGCTAACAGTGTACTAGACAGAGAATTTTATGTTAGCTTTCTGGATGTAAGTTTCAAAACTACTTTCTCAGTTTGAGTTGAATTGGTTGTATTTCATATAATACCAGTTTCCTACCAACTCATTGCCCCATGTTTGCTTGTGACCTTCTTCTCTCAAAGATTATTAGGACAGACCTTATTTCATGGCTGCAGGTCTTAAACCAAAGAGAAAACACTGGAAGATATAACTTTTCTACGCAATTCCCTTATTACAAAGAAGTACTTTACAAACCAGATTTTAGAGGCAAGCATCTTGGGAAGAATGTTGTGTTTGATATGGATATGAGTGCTGGAGATTTTCTAGCTCTCTTTTATCTCCTTAAGTTACCAGTAGAAGAAATCAATCTCAAGGTATGATGGCCTTCTATATGTTCAATCTAATAGCTTAAGCAATATTTACCATCTTCTACAACATACCCAGTATTATCCCACACCGTGGGGTCTGATTTACCATCTTCTGTTTTCAAGAATATCCTCAACAGACTGGATGAAGATATAGTTCCATGAAGTTTCTTAAAATGGGTAAATTGCTTCAATTCATGCTCAACTGTGTGTTCAAGAATGCATTTTGTTAGTTATATTTAGTTCTGGGGAAACTAACGATTCGTTGGCCATTCATGAGATACTTTCCTTTAACTATGAGCAAATTCCCACTTAGGTTGAAAGAATGAGTTGTTATCTCCTTACGTGGTCCCGGGCAGTCCTCATTTCATGACCTATCTTTTGGGTTCTTAACATGGTGTTAGAGTAAGACCCATTCATATTCTTGGTTTACTCAATGTTCGACTGGACCCCATGTTTTATTGTCTACTTAGGAAATGTCTAGTCCTGAGTGTGTGGAGGGTGTTAAGTGTTCCACATTGGTTGAGCTAATGGGATGTTGTCTCTTAACTTTTTATATGGTTTGGGATAATTTAGGACTAAATTATGTAACTAACTAAGTTGAGGAAGCAATGCTTATCAATGTGCTATCTCTTCTTCTAAAGGGGGAAGCCCAGTGCACGAAACATCCCGCATTCACGCAGGGTTCGGGGAAGGGCCGCACCCCTAGAGGTGTGATGTATATAGCCTACCCTAATGCAAGCATTAGTGGCCACTTTTTATATGCAATCTCTTCTTCTGTTCAGGCTATAATTGTGAGTCCAACTGGCTGGACCAATGCTGCAACAATTGATTCTGTGTATGATTTGCTTCATATGATGGGTCGTGATGACATTCCCGTGGGCCTTGGAGATGTGTTCGCAATGAACCAGTCCGATCTTGTTTTCTCTGCAGTTGGTGAATGTAAGTACAACAAGGTTATCCCACAAGGTAGTGGCGGATTTCTCGACTCGGACACTCTTTACGGATTATCTCGTTCTTTGCCTCGAAGTCCTCGCAGGTATATTGTCTAGTCTGAATCTTCATATAGTAAATCCATGTAGAAAAATGCAAACTTTTAATTTCACATATTCATTTGTGCACTGTACAAATTTGCTGATATACCAGCTTGATTTAAACAATTTCAGATACACAGCTGAAAATTCTGTGAAATTTGGAGCTCCCAGGGATACTGATCATCCTGAACTCAGACAACCTCTAGCACTAGAAGTATGGGAGTCAGTGGTGAAATCACTCGATTCAGGATCCAAAGTTACCATTTTAACTAATGGCCCATTGACCAATATAGCGAAGATTCTTCTTGCAGGCAACAATTACACCAAGGCAATCCAGGCAAGTGTGTCCCTCTATCCTAGGCATTATGCAGAAGCTAACAAAGCAAACCTTAAACAACATTAAATCAGACAACAAAGAAAAAGTATAGTAAAAGAGGTATAATAATTTAATATCGTTTGGTTAATTGACCTACATATGAGAAAACTAAAAAAGAAGTATAAAAACTATCGAGAGAATATTCTCCCCTAAACAAGACTCTTTTAATGACTATATTGTGGATACTATTGTGTTATTGTGTGAGAAGGAAGAACCTAGAAGTGCAAAACTTCTCCAAGAAAAGGATAAATATGGAAGAGTCTTTCTCCATCAAGAAACCTCTTCTACCAAGTAAAGTAATTCTAATCATGGTAGAAAATCAAGGGAAACCTGACATGATTTCGTAGTACCTCGGTAGCATAAGTCAGTCGAATCATTACTCTACTGTATCACTCAACTCAAATATGTAAATGTTATACAGGTACTTTGTAGCTTAGATATATCTCTGATATGTAGTAGCTGACCACTACATAGTTACACAGCTAAGAGCGAGTGGTTTAAGTTTACTGCTTAATATGTCTAAAACAGGCATTCCTTAATGAGAAAGCATTGTCTTTTGAATAATGATGCAGGATATACTAATTGTTGGGGGACACATCAATTATGACAACACTGAGAAGGGAAATGTGATCAATGTTCCTTCAAATAGATTTGCGGAAATGAATATGTTTCTTGACCCTCTGGCTGCACAGACAGTTTTGAGTTCAGAACTTAATATCACTCTCATTCCACTTGGCATACAGCGGAAAGTCAGTGTATTTCCTAAAATTCTTGAACAACTTCATCTTACTATGGGGACGCCTGAAGCAATCTTTGCAAGGCGTTTACTGTCAAGGTTACACCACCTGCGAAAAATACATCCTAGATACCAGCATATGGTACATAGACCTTACCTTAATTCATCCTTAATCTTGCTTCATAATAGTGACTATGTTACTAAGTTATTTGTTATGTTACAGCATTTGTGTGTAATGTACAAGTTCAGTTATGCTAGATCCTACTGCTAATCATTTCTAATATTTCAGGATACATTTCTTGGAGAAATCCTTGGAGCAATAGTTTTGGCTGGTGATTATTCTGTACTAAAATCTACATTTGCTGTCAAGAACATAAAAGTCACTGCTGCAGGAGTTGAATCTGAAGATGGACAGATAACAATCGACGAAAAGCAAGGAAAATCAGTGAAAGTATTGCAGAATCTGGATCATTTAGATTATTACAATATTTTTGCAAATCGACTAAGTGATGAAAAGCAGTCTGCTGTAGTTGGAAGCTTTATGGAGCAGAGTAGAATTTGGAGCACACCATCTAATTAGAGACAAAACTGCCCATTACTCTTCTACTCTTTCTTTTCCCTTCTCCTAATTTTACTTTCTTTTTAGTTTTTAAGTTTCATGTAGGTGATTCTTTTCGCATATTCTAATTCTTGAAAACAATTGTAACTTGCACAAAATCTTATTGTAATTGTACTGTATGGTTTCAAGGTGACAATTGTAATGAAGACATTAAGTTCCCCCCC